GCGTTTACTTTAAAATCCTATATAGGTCAGCAATAGAATAAATGCTTTTTTGAGTAAATACCCTACCACTTTTCTGAAATGGGTATTTCAACGTTAACATTTCTTGTACACGATTAGGATAATTCTTGCCGTTGTGCCGATTCCAATCTATTTGAGGAATTCATGAGTTAGAAATCGATATGGTTGCACTAATTGGAGAATATGAAGGCTTCTGGTCTTGGCTTAGTGTGGCGAAAACCATACCAGCATATAACTACTGTTTTTTCGTCATTCTTGTAAGTTATATTCTTTCTTCAAGCGTATAGGTACAATCTCCTCTCCCTCCTTCACAACGCCACACGACCCAAATTTTTGTCGAATTTGCAACGAATTTGTCGAAAACGCTCAGGTTAAGGCTTGTTGCCCACTTCGTAATGCATTGGTGTGCAAGGCAATGAGAGACTGAGCGCGGAGAGGAGAGTATGAGGCGAGAGAGCGCAACAGATGAGAGAGCGCCAGACAACAGCCTGAGAGAGGAAACATTGCAGCTGCTGCAGCTTACTTTGCAAGGCCCTAGCGCTCTTGTCGGGTGATTTCCATGCACGGGAGTGCCACATCTGTGATTGTCCTTTATGGGTCTCCCCTACAGATTACCATGAAATCGGTCACACGGCTTCTTCCTGGATTAGGCCTTTAAGCAACTGAGCTTGTAAAAGAGAACCAACTGCGAAAAGCGGCCGAGTTTTCGATTATCTGTTAGATCGTTCCAAGAAGAATCCAGACTAACCAAGATGCAGTTCGGAATTTTTGCTTCCCTTAACCGACTAGTCTGCAAGCAATTGACCGGAGTGTGGATGACGGACAGGATTCGGGACCAGGGTCAACCCTACGTTGGGACAAGTACCAACGGGGGGGGGGTCGTAGTTTGTTGAAGTTTGTGGTGGGGGGTCGTACTTGTTTCGGTAGCACGAAATTACATGTAATGAGGTGAAAGCGCGAGCGGGAGAAAATTTGCCGTTTCAGGGTGCGTTTCAGGGTGCTGTTTCAGGGTCCCCCCCCTCCCCGCTCGACGGTGTTTTTCGAGGGAAAAAGAAGAGGTGAAGAAGGGGTCGTATGAAATCTCTCGTAAAGGAGAGGGGTCGTAGAAAGTTTGCGAAAAGTCTCCAACGATAGGACCGACCCTGTTTTAGGATTTAATTATTTGATATTATCTTAATACCAAATGACTTACTGAATGTGTTACAAAAATTCTACCTACTTAGAGTGGTTCGTTTCGCCTCCACTCAGACGAACCACTTCATTCTGTCATTTTTAAGAGGGTCCAGTGAGGCTGGGAGTGACAGAATTAATCCAATTTGTTAGGGTCAAAAGAAAAAAGGTTTAGAAAAGAAATATATAACGATCCAGTGACCTTATGAATTCACAGTAGAAGTATCCGAAGAATTTTTTTGTACTAGAAGAACCACACTTTGTGCTATCACTAAAAAGTTAAGTCTTCAGATTTTGCAAGTAATTGACGCCCACTCAATCTCCTCATGGCTGCAATTTCCGTGGTGGTCTGAAAAGGTTCCTCGGTTTTTGATTTTTTTTTTGGAAAATGGTCCTCAATCACTCTGCATCCCACTTTATTTCATAAGATTTGTGTAACCTCCCTTCAAAAAGCGAGAAAGTGTCGGGTGCAGACCAAACACCACAACTGACGACGGCCTCCAAGTAAATCTGGTTAGAAGTTGTTCATAGTGATAGCTGATTTCTGGTAAATGATAGCTGGTAATTAGTGACATTCGATAGAATTACAACTGCAACACATAATATTTCGATGCAGAAGCCAATTAACATTGCCGTGCAGGACGTCGTCACTGTGATTGTGCCATGGTCTAGCACCGGACACTTTCCGCTTTTTGAGGGGCAGGCGAACAAAATTTTCGATTTCAGGCTCGATTAGAACAATCGCAATACGGCTATGCACATTTGCTTCCAAGCGCGATAATGCTTCTCCCATCCCTCATACCACTACTGTACTTATTGCGAAAAGCAGTAAAACTGAAAAAATACGAGGTACTACTCTTCTAGTTGTGCTCCTGTTAAATTTCAAAGGGCATTGATGAATTTGTGAGTATTCAGCAGTTCTCAAAGCTTTTCGAGGTCACACCAGAACATCCAGCCTTCCTTCGCATTAATGCAAAAAGAATACTAGGACCAGGTTAATCCGAACTCTATCAAGCGATTCTTTTCCTGGACATACATTTAGCATCTAAATTTCAGAAGAAAGCGCGCCGACATACCGGATAGACAATAAGAGGAGTTTGGTTCTATGATCTTTTCAGAAACAGAAGATTTGAAGCAATACATCATTGAAAATGACAACAAAACAATGCTCACTCTTATAATTAAAGGTTATGCTAGAGTTGTGTATGTGTTTTCTCACTTTTACACAATTGCGAAGATAGTGGGTACAAAAATTGTTCATCTAATAGAAACTAAAATCGAGGTGTTAACAGTGCAGAAGTGAAGATACAAACAAAAGGAACGGTTTTAGAAAGCGCGATATAGCCTTTTTGCCCGACGATTTTCGCTCTGGGCGAGATTCTCTGATAAATGACGTCACCATTTTGAAGGTCCTGGCACTGTCATCCGTCACGTACGTTTTTGCAAGAACTTACGACACTGACCTTAGTGTGGGTTTTGGTACCACAACCATCAGCCTTAAAGGAGGGGACTCCATACGAACCCCCTTCCCATCACCAGCCCCCCCCCATCATAACTGTTTCTCAAGTATGTGGTTCTGAAATTAGTCGAGAAGACGCACTTCAACTCCGCCCCGCCCACTTTCCCCCCAAGGCCGATGTCAGACTTTGCGAATCGCGCGATTCGCTAGCGTCTGCGGTCGCGTCGCGGCCAGTGAATCGCTCGATTGGTACCACAACGCGACGCTAGCGAATCGCTAGTAGCGAATCGCTCGATTCGCAAAGTCTGACATCGGCCAAAAACTGGTACACTGGGCAAATAAAGCTGAAAAATGACAAACGTTCTGATTTTGACAGTTCACGCTTCTTTAGTTCCGCTATCGCCTGATCGACAAAAGAAAACGTCAAAACGACCTTCTCACCCGCAACCATGACCACTTCCATTTCCAAGAATGCCAGTCCCGTGCGCACCTTTCTCAGAGATACGAAACCTTGATCAACAACCAACTAAAATCCAAATACGACCCTCTTTTTAAACTATACGAACGGACCGACGGCTCATTTTTCGTCCTGCTCTACCTTTCTGCTCAGAGAGCCTGAACGTCTGAAAGACACTTCCATTGAAAGATGATCGCCAATGCGAGAGGGAATTACAAAAGGTCGCGTTCATAGTTCGTGACTTCCGAGATTAGGACAGTACGTGACAATCGAAAATATATTGTACTGAAAGAGAGATTTTAAAGCGAGAAATTACGATAAAATTTCTGTGCAGCATGGAAGAACGAGCAGCACTTCAAGCAGTAGCTAGAGCCCAAAGGAATCGAGATGTGGCCTTTTTGTGACTAAAGGTGCGCTCGTTGCAGCGCCCTGGGGCTGCCAATCCTTTCTGAGCTCCGCCTCCGCCTGTGCTCCGCCCCTCAGCAGATCGCTGTTCGATTATCATTCTGATAAGGTATGCCACTTCGAGCGCGTATCCAATTTTTTTCTCATGGAATGCTATATCAATCAAGGTATGATCTCTGGTGGTATGATGGCAGCTATGGTTTAACGAGTGCCGACGACCTCTTAGTTGGTTGCCAACTCGTCCATTATCGGAGGTCAACGGGCAGAGGAAGTGGTCCCATTTTGCGCGTTTTTGACGGATTTCTTTGCTTTTTTCGCTACTAGGGCATTATTCAGCATCTTCACTTCCACTATGAGCACAACAGAATCCTATCGCAATCTCTCGCTTTAATGATGCGTGTAAAAAAGGATAATGTACTGACGAATAATGAATAACGTAATTAACAGGGGGGGGGTGGCAATCGTTGGAGAGTAGTGAATCACTGTTAACGATAGTATAAAAGCATAGCATGGTTGATGCAAGTCTGGAGAGTTCGCCATATACCCTATTTTCCGGTGTATAAGCCCCGCTAGTATCATGTAAAAACACCTCCACTGGTGCAGTGTACTTGAGTACATCTAGAGTCAACCGTAACATGCCCATAGGGGTAATTCGATATGCTGATCACGAAAACGACATTCGTTTTTAGCGGTGGCGGCATCTGGCGCCAGTTGGCGCCACCTTGTCACGACCCTTGTTTTCGCCAAAATCGGTGTAAACTTCAGTATAGGGGTTATTTGGGACCCTGATTACGAATATGACATTCGTTTTTGGCGTTAACGTTGTTTAGTGCACATGTCTCGGTTGGAGAGCGCAGACGAGCAGAAAATAGGCGTCAAACAGCGCCAGCGCCTATAATGAATGTCATATTCGTAATCAGGGTCCCAAATAACCCCTATACTGAAGTTTACAATTTTGGCGGAAGTGTTTTTGCGAGGAAGGTCCTCAATAAAAAGGTCGCGCGCTGCACGCGCGCCCGAGGTCGGAACATTCTCTGAGGTCAACTCCCGTGTTCGCTCAACCCAATCCGCCCTCGAAATCACAAGACATCTATCCACTTTTAATATCTGTTGATTTTGTTGTTTAATAAACCTTCCTTTGTACTGCTTGTCTCGCACGCCAGTCAACAGGCTCACTCTACCGTATATTGTCCGGTCGCTAAGCGTGCATGTAACCGTCTTGCATTCTCTCACAACTTGATTTAACCTAACTCATTAAGCTATATAACACCATTACCTATGGCATTCATACAACAAGCGGGCAAATCGGCTATCCCTTCCTCCCAGAAAGAGGAGAACTGCGCGTGAAAGAAGTTAGCCAGAGCAATTTTGAGTTCGAAAAAGTGGCTACGAACTTCTTGGCCAGGAACTGCGTGAGGTGGATGATGGTCAGAAGGGGCGAGGTCAGGGTAGAAAGGTGTGGGAACGGTATCAGCTCTATTCCTGTAATTTGGACTGCGTGGTCTTTGCGAGATTAGGCGAGCGTTACCACACAGCAGATGAACAGAGACCCTTTTGACGCTCTCACTTCAGTTACCAGTCGATATCTCGAAGTCTGATTGGGCGTGTCACCGGAAATGACGTGGCAGCCACCGCACTTGATAGAAGTTGCGCGGATAAGCTGCTTCCAACACGCTTTGCTGATATCTGGCGGAGTATTTTATCCACACAACATCTATCAAGTGCGGTGGCTGCCACGTCATTTCCGGTGACACGCCCAATCAGACTTCGAGATATCGACTGTACTTGATAGAGCTCCGTTACTGACTGCTGTAGATGGTAGCCGTAAATAAAATTGACCTTAAGGCGCATTGGATGGTGTAACTCCTTCGAGTTTCCGTCGACCGGTAGGGGTAGTAACTGAATAGGATGTAGTCCCTGACAAAAATGGTGGGGGGAAGGCTAAAAAGAGACACTTTCACTCACATTCAAAACGGAATTATTTACGCGTTGCGAAACCAAACCAAATGAGCCCAATTGATATTAAAGAGCACATTCTAATCTATCAAAAAGTTACATAACAGCCTTCTACACCGACGACATCAGAAGATTTTCCCACGGAAACATGGTTCACGGTACGAGCTCAACGAGGTCGTCGAGGTACCATAGACCATTACGACGTCCCTGAAACGCTGGTCAAAAGCGGTCTTGCACAGTCACAGCTAGTGTCTCTAGAAGCTATTCACCAGTTAATCGATTGAAGAAATTATGTAGCAGCTTCAGGCCGGAGCGATTACGGTAAGCCTCGTTGAGCTCGACGGTGACGGCAGATGACGTCATATTCTGAAGACGGTGGGGCAGTGAAGGAGGGCCTGCTTCTGCTTTGGGGGACACCTAAGGAATATTCTGCCGTAAAACATTCATCAACAACGGCATCCTGTGCGACGAAAAATTTGATGATGTGCGCCATGGGCAAAGTGACTCTTTTTTTGCCCCCCCCCCCTGTAGATACTTATTGATCGATTCGTTTGGGCGCCTTCTTCCCTCCACCGATTTCAATCGATAGGTGTCGAGTCAACCAATATCCCATACTACTAATACGCCATCCCCCCCCCCCCCCCCCCCCCCCCCCCCCCCCCCCCCCCCCCCCCCCCCCCCCCCCCCCTCCCCCCCCCCCCCCCCCCCCCCCCCCCCCCCCCCCCCCCCCCCCCCCCCACCCCCCCCCCCCCCCCCCCCCCCCCCCCCCCCCCCCCCCCCCCCCCCCCCCCCCCCCCCCCCCCCCCCCCCCCCCCCCCCCCCCCCCCCCCCCCCCCCCCCCCCCCCCCCCCCCCCCCCCCCCCCCCCAACCCCCCTAACTCCCCATGTCGCGCGTCAAAGAACTTAAGGGCACTTCGCGTGGCCATGCGTGGCGACGATTGCGATTGGTGGGTTTCGCGATCGCGCGATTGCAAACTATGAATACTCCTTAGGGGCCACTGCTACCAAGATTGTGCAGTTTGTCGTCGGATGCCTACGCCACGACGGGCTGCGTCGAAACGTTTTTTCAATCATAAATACAGTGGAAACGTCAACCATGCACACCTTCGTGAAACGATCCATTCGATTGCCTCGACGTTGGAAATCGATCTGTCAGCTGGTAGCTATGTGATGTGCAGTCACGTAAGCTGCACGGACGTCTTCTGATGAAATCCTGACCATCCTGGCTAATTTCGGTAACTATTCCGTTCAACAGATTCTGGCGTCATGAAATTCCGTATGCCCATTCAATCGTATGAACAGCCATTGAAAATTTGCACTTTTGTAGTTCACCCAATCCAATCGATGACAGCCTTTGCCACCATGTTCCTTTTATGGTCGTTCAAGACAAAGTATAAACAATTACGTGGAGATAATGATGCCATCTCATGTGAGTTGCTCTACACTTTATTGAGTAATTCACAGCTATATTGACAACTCCTACGAAAGCCTTGTAGATAGATTCGATTCAGGTGCCAGACACCTTCCATCGGATACTGATGAGGAAGAGTTACCAGAGGAGTTGAATCGCCTTTGTCATAAAGAAGAAAACGGGGAAATGATCCGTTCTGACACTACCCAATGTCTTTTGTGAGTAGGTTCCCATTTCTTCTTTTATTTATTCACGGGTGTCGGTACTTTTATCGTTGAAATTTGGACTTGATTTTTCTAGACGTCTACATACTAGGAAGGAGGTTTGTTTGTTTTATATATAATTATTTGTTTCCAGTATAATTTTTACCCTCCCCTTCAAAAAGCGAGAAAGTGTCGGGTGCAGACCATGCACCACAAGTGACGACGGCCTTCACAAAATGTTAATGTTTTCTGCCAATGAAATGATTAGCCTGTTGCAGTTGTATTCTATCGATTGTCACTAATTACAACTATCATTTACCAGAAATCAGCTATCACTATGAACAACTTCTAACCAGATTTACTTGGAGGCCGTCGTCAGTTGTGGTGTTTGGTCTGCACCCGACACTTTCTCGCTTTTTGAAGGGGAGGTTACTGATTTTGTATGAAATCACTCATACAAACCTTTACTTGCTCGGGAACCAAGTATAGCGCGAGCATTTCCTTCACTGCTTCTTCTTTCATGTCATTCAGCATGTGTCCGCAATCGCACGCCATACATTTGAATATTCATTTCATGTGATTTGAGCAGCTCTGAAATATTGATAAAATCATTTTTGAATCCTGCATAACACTTGAAAACTCTTTACGCAGATGCATTCACTATTTCCATAAAATATTTATTTCTCATGGTCTCATGGGGTTTTTCATCAATCACTTCCTTTGACATAGCTCACAACCTTTTCCACATCAAAAAAACAAAGCACAAAATCGCAACATTCAATATTGAAGAAATGGTAACATAAAGTCCAGAGCATTTGGTGACTTACAGGGCTCCTTAGGTAAATCGAGGAAACGGAGGCGTCGCCACCAGCAAAGTGCTCTCGTGGGGTACGGCTAACGATTACGCGATCTTTGTGGGTAGATAAGTACCGATCAAACAATTGCGATCGAGCGAGCGTAATGAGGAGAGAAGAACCTCCTTTAACCCGAGAATGTTAAGCGCTCCTCATTCCTTTTTTATACAAGCGGAATGACTCACCAATCTGGCGCTTCTTCCCCAGAAAGCGCGGGATTACAGTAGTAAGCACGAACCAAAACGTCTCCCAGCACACGAGCGCTGTTTTGCGGCCTGTAAAGATTCAGAGAATCAAATCTCTGGCGGAGCGAAATCAAACATTAGTTCGGTTACAATTGTTGTATCTCAGAATGAAGCCAAAGCGAATGGAATGGTTGTTATCGGACTTAAGAAGTTTCGAAAACCCCAACATCAGTCTAGAACAGTACGCAACTTCTCCCGAATTAGCTAGTTGGTTTCTTTTTCTTTTTTTTAGATATTTGATGGATTTTCACAAAGCCTGCGAAACAGTTGTGATCTGTTGTTTTCAGTTTCCATTGTGGACAGTATTGACCGTCTCGTTGGATTTGACGGACGGATTGTTGCCGATCTCGGTTGTGGGTGCGGAATGCTAATGTCAGCTATTGCGATCGCACACCAACCAGCTGCCGTAGTTGGTACTTCTTAAGTTTTTGATCACAAGGCGCGCATGGACTTAAAAGACGATGTCGAATAGATTGATGGGTTAGTGTCAACATTTATGCAATGTGCATGAGAACATTATGCAGGAGAAAAATAGCAAGACGCACCTATGAGAAAACCCTAAATTCCCTTCAAACGATAGTACGTCATACGCGAGAGACGCAGAGACCACGTATGCCGTGGTGGATTACGCTGGCAGCGCGGCGGCAAGGCCTTAGCGCCATTGCCGCGCACTTTTGGGTCGCGATAGTGTCGCGCCCTCAGTGCTTGGGGAGCCCACTATCGCACCCTGGGAAGAACTTCTGCTGGTTGCCTAATCCTGACTCGTGGCTTTAAGGAGACATTCAAAACGGGGCATTAAAAAACCCTGAAGGTACCAGAGACTAGCCAGAGAAGAGGGAACGCCAAACGGTAAAAACGCCACATCTTTTGCTCAGATCTCCGCTTCCCTCCTTAGACTTGCGTCCCAACTACTAACGTGCAGTACGTTTCGTTTCGATGTTTGTGGAAGACAGACGATGAGCAGCACAACCTATTTACAGAAGGCAGTAACAGAAACGACCATAAATAGGCTCTAGCCTGCATTTGAAGGTCTGAACAGAACAGCATGGAAGGTTCATTGGATGGGTTTGTCTCATCTCGGTCACGCCACTGCTTCCATCAAACTAATCGCTCGCGCATCGCTATTTCTGACCGCATGTACAGGCGGCTTCATTGTTAGGCCGATGTCAGACTTTGCGAATCGCGCGATTCGCTAGCGTCTGCGGTCGCGTCGCGGCCAGTGAATCACTCAATTGGCTGGTACCGCAACGCGACCGCGGACGCTAGCGAATCGCGCGATTCGCAAAGTCTGACATCGGCCTTAAAGATTCACCGCATAGTACGTTACAATATTCAGAGCTGCTCACCAGCTCTCGTACTGAGTGTCACCTTGTAAAGTTCGCCAGCCGCTCTCACAGATGAAAGGGCCAAGAATTAGGAGAGTAATATGCGAATGTTGAAGAGCAAAGACCATGTGAGGGCTGCTCGATTCGGGATACCTTTCGTACACCAGTCCAGAGTTCCGCTGCCGTAACTGAAAGTTATACGAACTAAATACTTCGAACACCATATTAATTAAGTGGAAATAAGTGAATAGATTAGTGGCAATAAGTGAGACATTTTCAGGAGTTGATATAGATGAACACGCTCTTTCAATTTGTAGAGAAAAAATCTCGAAGAACTCGAAATAGACTATTGGTAAGTTGACACTAGAATTTTTTTTTCAACGGATTGGACACATTGAGCGTTTCCACGGAGAATGATGAAAGAACCCTGAAAAATATCATTACACACAGCAAAAGCCCGGTGTCTCGAACATAAGCCGGTTGACGGGTGCTATTGCGAGCCTTAAACGTGGACAGGTTGGAGTGGAAATGGACAAGTGGCCTAAAAAGGATGCGTGTAAAAACAGGAATAGGTGTTGTGAATTACGTCAAGAAAAACAGGGTGCTACACTTGGATTTAGACTTAGTGTAACTTTGCCTATGTGAGAGTGGAGAATTACCTCAAGTGAAAGCCAGAAGCTCAATGTGTCCTCTACTTTCAGCAAAATCAGATACTGATGGGTACTTATTTATATTTTGACAGCGTGTGATTTATATAGAACTGAGGCGTACTTCAATATGTCATAAACGCTCTTTATCAACACCTTTTTGATATAGTGATAATGAATCCTCCTTTCGGGACCAAGAAGAACGAAGGTAAGATTTTGTGGTCTGCTAATTCCCGTAAGGTTTTATGGATACGTGGATCGAATAGATTAGATGGCTTTATTGCACTGCAGAGCAATTTCGTTCATTTCCTCCAAAATAGTAGTTGACCATAAACAGTCTCCAAAGTCTGGTACAACGACTATCACACCTTCAGCCTCTCTGGATTTCAATAAAAATGAGAAGGTTGGAGGGCATAAGATCATCCATTCTTTGATTTCCATTTTCGTTCTTTTTGCGCGAATGTCTAATTTCAAAATGGTTCCTGTCGTTCCCATCTTTCAAACTTTCCTAAATCAACCTATTGCGGACCGCCGTTATGTGAGCACCCCTGTAGGTCTTCGCTGTCTATTTTATCACTACCCAATAATCATCTGTAGTTTTATCAGCGTAAAAGCACATATAATTTTTTGTGCGCGGAAATAGTTAATAATGGCTTTGTACCTTAGACTGTGCTAAATAAATCGAATCTAACTATTCTTTTCTGTAGGGCGGCGCGCTGCATATGGTGCAGCTCGCGGTCTGCGGATAAATTTTTGCCTACCCATAGCTTGGTGTACCATGATGTACCCAAATACATAAGTACTTAACCCATTCGTGACAATGTCAGCCACCGGTGGCTGACAAAGCTCTCACTCGGGACAATGGCATTACTGTGGCTGCAGGGCTTCAAATGGAATTTGGAAAGTTTTCTTCCATGAAAAGAATCTTCATACCCTCGCTCATCTACGCCAGCCCTGGGCAGAGGAAATCTCCCTCCACTCGAATTTTATTGAAGAAAAATCTCCTGACTCTGCTGCTATTGCGCAATCCTGCGCGGTCGCGAATGGGTTAAAAACAGGGAAGGTCTTTCAAGGTGTGCCAAGCTTTTTCAAAACGATCTT